CTGGAAACCTCATCTGCCACAATAATTCAGAAAATAAAAGTCACAGATTATTTAAAACGATATTGATACTATGAAGAAATTTCATGGATAATATGGAAAAGCTCAAGACTCTGTAAAAAGGGAAACACTAACTGCTTCTTATTTGGCTGTTGTACAAGTATAGGTATCACATATCACAAATCAACATCTTAATTACAGTTTTCAAGGCACGGAAATAAGCCAAATAAAGAACTAAGATTCCAGAAGCCTGTCGATGCAATGCACCAGGGTAAGGAATTGCAATATCAATAACTTTTTCATAAATATATAATAACAAGAAAATCAATACTACTAACCACAAAGGCTTTGCTGAATCCAGATCAAGCTTATGACACAAGCAAGGGCAACTTCCACTTGGAACTTCATTTACTCTACCTGAACATTACAAAAATGAAAATCACATATGTAAAATAATAATAAAGACTAAGAAGACATTTTCAGGTCTTGCTGATGGAAGACATAAAAAGAACAATCAGGTAAGGATCGACTAAAAATGATTCCCATAACGATGGTGTAAATATGAACAGCAGCTATGACAACTTTTGTATTTTACAAAAAACTCAATATATTGTTAAGAATCTAATGGCATAGAAGTCTCAATATACCAAAGCAGGAGGAAAAAAAAAAAAAAAGATATCACAATAATAAACCTTCATTAGGTTGGGGAGAAAAAAGGTTTACTCTTCAAACGTCTTTGGTTTGAAACCCTCTGGAAGTTTGAACACAACCATAGACATTCAAACAAATTTCTAATATAACTTTAAAATAACTTTGTCAAAGTTTTATTTCCATGAATGAAAGGAAACCAAGATGATGACAACAATGTGAAATTATACAATTAGAAAATTTCAACTATGATTCAAAACCTTTATATTAGAAAAACAATAATTTTACAAGATTCAAGGGAAGAGAAAAACACTAAACTCAGACCAGAGTTTAGACATGATATTCTCATAAATCTGAAATGCACAAAACATCTGGAAAAATAAAAAAGAAAGTTAGGCAAGCATATAAAGGTAAAATATGGCAGGTAGGAGTGGCTAAATTCATGGTTGGCCAACAAATTTGAAGCTAACAATTGATTGCAATCTACTGTGCTCTATATTCAAGCAAGATAAAACAGTATGACATGAAGTCCGTCTACACTAGCTCAGGGTATTGTCAAGTTTTCAACACAAAACTTTGGCTTAAACAACCCCACAAAATAATTGCTGACTCACGGTTACGAATAGCTTTACCCAGTCTGATAATTATACACAACTAAAAACATAAATGCAGAAATGACCATTAAAACAACCACATTGCATTAGTTATTAAAAGCTGTGACTGCAGTATAGTTACATCAAAATAAATCAAAGATGGAAAATTCAAGGCTTGCCGGTTGGGGACCAAGCAGAAATTGGCCCAATGAATGAGCCCACTACCCCTATCTATCATCAATGCAGTACTTCTTCTAGCAGTCCTACATGTCGTATTTTAAACTAATAGCTCTTTTAAACTGCCTCACCAAACAAAATTATACTTTCTTCAAAGTAACTACATAACACATTGCTTCTTTATTTGGTCAAAAGAAAAAAAGTAGAAAACTGACATTGCTTTTAAACAGAAAGAAAGCAGAAACTTAGAAAATTAAGGACAATCAACACACCTGATAAGGTAAAGAACAACAGCAGAACGCAAACTATGAGCTTGACCTTGAGTCTTAACAAAGTACAAAGTGAAAAGTACCAAGCATCCAGCTCAAAGCACTCAAAATGGTCAAAACTGATGCCCCTAATCTACTCCCTCAGAGTCTAAACATGAGTATAAGTAAGCAAACTAGAGCTTAGCAAACCCAATATAACAAATACCGGATAAGTCTAATGTACGCAAACCCATCATAAATGATGGTGTGAATCTAGAAAATGGACAATGCAGAAAGGACCATGTGACAGAAAATACAGGGGAAAGAGACCAATGGGGTTCTTGAAAAACAGATTGAGAAATAGGAAAATGGCTCAAAACAAGCCCATCATCCACCTCTCTGAGAGCTACCCTTCCGCAAATCAGAAAGAGACCCCTCAGCTGTAGCTATATCTAATCCACATTATAGATTGAAACCCCAAAATCTGCTTATTTTTTAAGTGTCATAGAGACGTGGGTCAATATTCAATAATTGAACTTTCTAAACTTTTCAAAAATTCAGACACCCAACGGTTACAAATTTTAAAACTTTTATTTTTTAATCATTTTGGGAAATAACGGTTATAAATTTATAAAGACTTCGCTTCAAAGACAGATAATCAGACATACATAGTATTGTTGGGTCCGTAAAGCGACCAAACCTCTGAGGTCACATTCGGCCCCACATATCTGTCGGCTGTCTGAGGTGGGCCCAGTATTAGGTCGTAAAAATGAGCCAGGCTTAATAGGACAACGTGAATGGGTGATAGTATGACATACACCACAGTTGAGAAATAGTACAAAGCGTATTCACCAACCAAAACTTTTTCCCAAAGACCAAAAATTTTGTAAAATTCAGGTCACCAACCCTAGCATATGGCATCTTAACTTTTCATTTGTTAAATCAAATTCAAATATAAACAAATGAAATTCAAAACTTTTGGGTTTGATTTGTTGGGTAATCTTCTATTTCTATGTTATATTCTGAGAGTGAGCACATGATGGGTAGGAAATTTTCCCTAGGTTTGATATATGTAACCTAACTAGAAAAGATCAAAGCTTTGGAGGAAAAATGGGATGCAATGCAACCTAATAATGACGTGGCATTGACTTCAACAAAAAGAAAAAAAAAATTAATGGGTTCATTACTAATATACTTAATTACTAAAGTACCCATGATAATGGCCTTAAATACAATAGTGTCCAAATAAGCAGCGGTTTCCTCTTCCTCCGCAAGCTAGAATTTAGTCTACCAGATCCGTACTGAAGAAAATCAAAAAGCAAAAAAGCAGGGAACCAACCAAAGAACCGCGGGAAGTGAAATTTCGGATTTTACCTTGATTGAATAGGATTTATCGACAAATATGGCTTCTGTGAGACTGTGACTCTGTGCTGTCTCCTCGGCGGTGTTAGAAAAGCACAACAGCTGAAGAAGCACTTTTGAAAAACCGAGACGGCTTTTTGAGCTTAGGCATTTCTCACTGCGATTCGGATCCGATTTATAATAGCTTCAACAGTCATATTGGAGAAATTTTCTGATAGAGAGAGAGAGAGAGAGAGAGAGCCTCCATTTTCAGTGGGAAAGAAGCTCGCGATTGCTGCTTCTTCAGCTGAAGAGATGAGAGTGAGAGTGAGAGTTTCGGTGGAGAGGGACGCATAATAATGAGAGTTGATGCTGTAGCGCTGAGGTGGCGCCCTCTCGCTTTCCCAGGTGGTCCTCCGTGGGACCCACTATAGTGTTATTTATTTCTTTTCCTATGAAAAGAATTTAAGTCTTACGTGGCAGTCCATCTGGGGCTCAGATCTTACCAGTCACTTATCCTCGAAATGATGAATATCTTTTTTAATTATGATTTTATAATCTCGGAATGATGATTTTAAAGATGTGAGAATATTGTTCACAAAATAAAGGAAAGTAGAATATCATTGTGAATTTGTTATATGTTTATATTTTTATAATGAAAAGATAATTTTCATCACTTCGTTTTTTAGGCCAATCACTTTAATTTTGAATTTTCACAGAAGAATCACAAAATTACATGTTCAGAAACACAATTCCAAGAATGAGATGAGATTGGATTCATACATTGATCTAATCTCATTTGCTAAACTTGAACAAGACAACTGATACGTCCGAAGGAGCCTCAAAAGCATGTATATGTGCGCACTAAAAACAATTAAAACCCTCAACAATTCTTAAAGAAGCCCACAACGGCCCAAGTAAACTCCGGCCCCGACCGACCGGAACCTTTACCGTTGCTTCTCCAATATCACGAATTCACATATAGGGATTTTTCTCCTGAAGCCCATACAAATATGGACTGCACTATATAGGCTAGTAATTGGAGCGAAGCACCTCTCCAAAGTAGGAGTGGGCATGGATTGGGTTGGGTCGGTTTTGGTCCTAATGCGTAACTGAACTCGATATATAGCGGTTTATGATTTCTTAAACTTAAGACCCGCCAACCCAACTCAACTTTTTTGTGATCGGATTGGGTGATTCGGTCGGGTTAACTCAAAATAAAGCCCATTTTAAAGTTTTGATTCTAACCCGTACAAAGCGATTTATGATTTTTTAAACTCAAAACTCGCTCATTAGTAAACCAATCCAACCCTCCAATGATCGAGTTAAACGATTCGATTGGGTTGATCCGACATTGTGCCCACTCTCACTCCAAGGATATGTGGCAGTGATGGATTTCTCACCAACCACCCAGATTCCCAATAAAGCTATGATCCCCCAAGTATGCGTGGAATTGTCAAAACCATTGGGCATTAGGACTCGGAACCAACAAAAACACCATAAGGAAGTACTTCATAAATGACTACTGTAACGCCAACCCTCCACCCCCAGTGTGCTTGACAACCATAGGAAACATGTTTGGATTGCGCCTAATTATGTACTTAAATTTAGATTGGTTATGTACTTAAATTTAGATTGGTTAATCAAGGCAATCTGCCAACCTCTTTGCACTCGAGTTCAATCCTTCTTTAGAAATTAGAGTAGTTTTTGAGTAATTTAGACTGAATAATTGTCAAATAGATAAAGTTTCCTTGTACATGTTATAAAATCATTAACATAAGTTTAGTTCGAATTCGTATATCGCATGCATGGAGATAATATGTTGCAACTTAGTCAACTTTTATGAAAATTAATCTTACTAGTGATAACTAGTGAAAAGAATCAGGAGTAGAATACCATATCATATATTCAAGTGAATAATTCACCCCAAGTATCCCCACAATTACAAAGGCTATACCCTCCTTCTCTTCTTAGAATTGAAAAAAATAAAACAAAAAGAAACAAAAAAACAAAAAATAAAACCCCTCCTCCATGTACATCACCCAAAATCACACTATATAGATCCTAACTCCCACCACCTCTTGTTCACAATTGTTCTCATCCCCATTTACCCAATTCTTATTAATGTACATGACAAAACAACCAAATATACTCCCCCTAGTTAAAACACCCAAAATTCCTCTGTATCCCAGTTATCCCAACTCCCCAAAACCACAAAAAGAAAGAGATTAAGAAAGAAACAAAAGGTCCATTAATGAAGAATATATGTAGGGTGCGGAGACTGCCACTTTTGATGATTAACGTGGCTGTGATTTGGCAGGAAATGACTGAGTAGTGCTGAGGGTTCGTCGAGGCGATGGGTTCCCTAATAACATGGTCTGAGACCGTGTCACCATGTCAATCATCGATGGGGTTTGGTAAGATTGAACAAGGCTAGTGCTATCTGTAGAATCACCTCGGGCAGTTGCCCTCTGCCATGAGTGTGAGCTCAATCCTGATAAAACATAAGCCCTTCCCGATTCCTCATATGCACGGCGGTTTCCCATCCTTTCTTGCATCTCCTTTAACTCAGCAGAAAGTGAAGCACACAGGCGGTCACCAGCTCGTGCAGAGGCACTTTCAGACAATGCCCTACGACAGCTCTCCAGGATAGAGACTGCACCAACCAAATCACCATTCTCAGCTGCAACTCTAGCCTCAGACATTGCTTCTGCTGCACGAAGTCTATTCCGCTGCCTGTCTACTTCCATTGACACTATTAGTTGTCCTACTACCTCAGGCCTTTGGATCATGACTTCACTGGCTTCTTCCAAATTCACCATTTCTTTTGTAATGGGGTCTCTGTAAACACATCTAACCTTTACCAGAGACATCTCAGGACTGGACGCATCAACTGGAATATTTATTGTCACCAAAAAATCCCTTTCTTCTTCAGCATACATGTCCCCAACGTAAATAGAACCCATTCTTGCATCAGCCATCATGCTGGTTCTGTAACTCCCTGCTTTAATTGAACCCAGTTGCAAACTCGGGTGAACACACTCGATTCTGACCAGCAGCTCTTGCACTACCACACTCAAAAGGCCCCCAATACACTGTGCAAATGCATCCTGAATCACACCCTCAGCTTCTATGAAAGAAAATGTTCCTCCAGACATCTCAGAGATTGAATGCATTGAGGCAGCATCATGATCTGCACCAAATCCAAATGCGTGAACTGGAATCTGCAAGCCTGATCCATTATTGCGACGGATGGAGACTGGGAGAAGTAATTGGTAATCTGTTCGGGGATGGAACCCACCAGGACTAGTGACAGTGTATGTATCCTGCCCATCAGATAGTAGTATGATACTGCAAACCGGGTTCTTCGACTTTCGGTCTACTAACACCTTGGTACCTTTCCTAAGAGCCTCGGCAATGTTTGTCCCACCATTCGAAACCAGAGAATTTACAGCCTGCAATGCCTGTTGCCGTCCAGTTTCAGTCATCCGACGAAGGGGGAAAAGCCGGCGGGCTGTAGAGGAGAAGGCAATGACAGAGAGACGGTCAGAGGGACCAAGGTTCTGTACCACAAATCCCATGGCTCGTTTCAGCAATGCAAGCTTTGTACCTGCCATGCTGCCACTGACATCAAGCACTGTCACAAGATCTACTGGAACACGAGAATTTTGAAATACTGGCAGCAGTGTCTGGTTTCTGCTGCTATTATGTCTTCCACTTGTAAGAGGAGCCTTAAGATGGATTAGAACAGTGAAGTTATCATAAGAGGCTGATCTTTGAACAGCCGGAACTTCAGGATATGTTTTGACCTCTATCGTTCCAATGGAATTGTTATCACAAGAATCTTCAATGGATGCACTTTTCTTAGAAACCTCAGGTTGGTGATCTAAGCTTTCATCATCATCAAAGATAACCGGTTCAGGAGTGTGAAAGAGTGATGAAATTGGCCGACTTGCATCTATGCGTGGGGGAGGAATTTGTCGTAAAACAGTCATCCATGCATCATCTTGGGGCCAACCAACAGGGTTAATTCTTGAAATACCACGTGAAAGATCAGAAGCAGGGCTCTGAAAGGGGATTTCTTTCCACTTTGCTCTGCAAACTGGACAAACTTGGTTTCCATGTTTTACATTAGAAGTAATGCAGTGGAAATGGAAAGAGTGGGAGCACTCTGCAGTGAAAATGGCATGGCCCTGTCCTGTTTTCATGGTGGTCAAGCATATTGCGCACGTTCTCTGCAGTCAAGGACAAACTGGTTAGACCAACGTAGGTTGGTAACAGTACCAAATTCAGATACGAATGTCAAATATTTTAGGCACACACAAACAAGATATTAAAGTCATGGAAGCACCTCCATTAACCAAAGTAATCCTTAAATTAACTACAAGCACTTCATATAACCTTACCATTAGAGAAGAAGTCTAACATAAATTCTAAATACCAACTCTATTTTACTGTCTCATTGACATCTCATTTAAAACACTTATGAAAAATAAAACAACAACACAAAGACGTTATCATTAGCAAACTAGGGTTTCACTGAATTGGCTTGAAAACTACTTGAACACATTGATGATATTTCTTTCCTCCAGCTAAGTACCATGCTTCATAAAGCTTTCTACTCAAGAAACTTACAATTGATTACCCTCTCTCCAATTCACTGTAACTGAAAAGTAACTTCAATAACAAATATACCTCTGGAAAACGTATGTTCAAGCACCCTTATTTAAGAACTCCACTTATCATATGGGTATAGCATAAAATTCAAGCAGGACTACTCGTTTAGAGTCAATCACTTGCTGAAAAGACTTTCTTTACAATTCTTAAAACTTAAAAAGAAAACATTTGATTTGACACATCAAAATTGATGATTTAACTTTTTTATCAAATTTACTTAAACTTAATCATCTATCTTCCTTCATGAGTTTGAAAACCTGCAACTATCAAAAAAACTCCTAGAGCTACCAATGTGAGCTATGAAGATAGTAATTTAAATACCATTAATTAATGAATGAGTACTATGAACTACAAGAATTATGCATGCATGTCCATGTCTGTCTCTACAATGAGCAGGCATTTCTCCTATCAAATAATAATAATGTAATAAGCACGCATTTTAACATCTAGATTTTGTCTTGGGACATGACTTCGTAGTTTTGAGGTCCCGTGGATTTCTAAAATAGTACCCTCCCAGCTTTAATTCAAAAAACTCTATTTGTACTTTAACAAAATTAAAACCAGCATTTTCAAAGTCCCCCTAAATGTAGATTTGCATTTGGGGACTTGTATCCAAATCCAACCCTTTAATTTAGAGAATCTAACCACTGGCTTATAATATTCAGGGCTCTTTGATACATGTGAAGATTTCGAAGGGTCACTACAACACTGTAGAATTTAAGCTGACACTTCTTTAACCATGCAGCCCCACTTGTGAGACTAGTGCATAAAAAGATGAAATAGATTGCACCGTATCTACAGTACACTACAGATGCCAATTTCGAGATTCCTTTTATACAATTAATTAAGTATGATTAAAGCGTCCCTAGTAAATCAGCTGGCCAACAAAAGAAAGAAGTCAATGAGAAATGGTCAAAAACATTGTGGAGGACATAATGGGAAATTTACATCAATCAACGGGATGACTTTTTAAAAGTAAGAATAAAAAAGCAACTTGCAGACTAACGATGAAACCTTTCAAGATGGTAAGAAAAATTTCATGAAAAAAAAAAACTTGAAGCTCATCAAAAGAAGAATGATGAATTGCTCTAAGACTTTCATGTCTTAATTCCCTCTTCAATGCTCCTTTGTTTTCTTTTGTTGATGCTCATTGCAGGAAAGCTCACAATCAAGGGTCCACAATCTTTTTCCAGAACTAACATGAGAGAGAGAGAGAGAGAGAGAGAGAGAGAGAGAGAGAGAGAGAGAAGTGTATGGGGTTGTGTGTGTTTGTGGAATAGTGCACTTGGTGCTGACCAGACAAAGCACTTTCCCTTGGATGAAAGGAAAGGTACAGTGATGTGTATTCCTTTACAAATAATCCAAAGGATAATGGTCCTTAAAGAGGCTGGCTAGTCCACTTTCTCTATCCCCACAACCATAACCTCTTCACATAGCTAGCTGAAAACAACCTGACAACCAATACTCATACTCACAAAATAAACATACATCACATTATCACACCACCCCCCACCCCACCTACACCACCAACATCATCTACCCCACATTAACAGATAGACAAAGAGAGCTCCAAAACAAAAACAAAAAACAAAATCTGCTATGATTGATTAAGAGTTGGTTATCACCAGTAAATTATGATAATAATATCACAATAATGTTACTTATACTGTTGTACAGTGCATGTAAATAAATAAAATTACTGTTCAAAGAAAAAGATGTTATTTGCATTCTTTCACTGTTTCACAAAGAATCTGCCATGGATATCCACCAAATAGCAGAGACATTTAGACGCCAAATGGCACAACAAATAGCAATAAATCAACCCAATAAGAAAAAATTGCACAAAATCAAACAATTTTTGCAAAGTCTAGCATAAATGATTAAAATTTCAATAGCCAAAAGCTCAACATGCAAATGGGTTTTAATCAGAAAAATGACAAACCAAACCTTGGAGGACTTGGTGCCAGTTTTGGGCAACCGGAGGCCCGAAGAGGACGGGGTGGGCGTGGTGGGTCGGCAATCAGAGCCAAGACCCGTCGGAGAAATCATAGAGGAGGACGAAACGGCGTCGGAGAACCTAGATGCAGCGACGTCGTTTGAAGAGGGTGACGATTCCTCTCCGGTTTCTTTAGTTTGAGGAACATAAAGACAAGTATTCAACCCAAGAGCAAGCTTGGCTTTCCTCCATTTGCTTCCCATTTTCTTTTGGTTTTTCTCACTCACTTTTTTTTAAAGATCCAAACTTTACTTCTAGATCTTGAACAAGATGCTGTGAGCCATGCCCATGATATAAGCTATGGAGTGTGGAGGTGTTGTCACGTTGTGGTGGTTTTGAGCTCAACAACAAGAAATGGAATAATAAAGAGGCAATAAGTGTTGAAGGTTAGAGAGAAATTGTTTTTATAGGGACCATGAAGAAAATTGAAAGGAGAGAAATGGGTTTTTGGGTTGAATTGTCCTTTAATGGGTGGATGGGTTGGGTGGGATTGGAGTGGTCAGAGAGGTTCCACAGCAGCCTTTTCTTTATTTAACTTCTTGCACAAAGATACACGTATAAACGTATAAAGACGTTATACGGTGTAGTGGTCTAGAGTAATTGCTCCTCAAAATAAGGTCGTGGGTTCAAGTCAGGTTCTGAAAAAATATATATACATATATACATAAAATGAAAATATTTCATTTTCTTGTAAAACTAAATTACAAAGAAGCCTAATACTATACCAAATAACTCCCAAGAATTTTTGGATAAAATATCCAAAATAAGAGAACTTTTCCTTTTCAAAATTTGGAAAATAAGAGAATTTTTGGATACATCAAACCTGCTTAGGAAATAGGTCAAAGAAAATTAGAACAATCATACGAAAGATTTACTATTTTTATTGCACAAATGAACAAGTAGAACTTGGCCATATTTTCGAGAAGCAAGCAAACACTACAACATATGAATTTTCGTCATGCTCTTTGAGAAGCAAACTTAATAACATATGTTCAACATAAATAACATATGAAGTTTCGACATGTTTTATGTTGTTATGTTTTTTATTCGCAAATAGAGGGCTTTCTGTTTTTTGTAACACATTTATTCAAAGATAATGTGATGTGGGAAATTTGAATTTCATTATCTCAAATAGATCCTTGAGTAGCAATAATGAACCGATTCCGACCTAAAATGGAGGCGCAAGCGAATGAAAGTAGTGTATGGATGAAGTCATTAATTTTAATTCTCCTGCCCATATTCAATTCCTAACTGTTTTTCTTTTTTGTCAAACCAATTCCTAACTATCAAGTTGTACAATTTTTATGAGTTAACTTCTGTTGATCGACGATTACTACGCTTCGTTTGGTGTGGAGTACTTACCTAATTCTCTAGGACATGGTCTGATTTTGTACTTGTTACTCATTTTCCTCATTAATAAATTACTATCGTTATTGCATAAAAAAAAACTTCATTTAAATTTCTAAGTTAACCAAAATGAATTGATACATCCTTTATGAGTCCGGTCTCATTTTCTATGTTTTTTTTTTTGTCAAACATTTTCCATGTCCACTATGTGTCTCTTTTCAAATGGCCAGCATATTCATAATCGTCTTTTTTTTTGTTTTTCAAATTAATATAAAGAAGCGTGACAATAATTAATTAGTTAGGATATTATGCTAATTTGTTTTCAAACTTTTATGGTGGCCTTCAATTTATCACCACGAATTATAAAATTCCTCTATGAATAAAATTTGAGAGGAGGAATGTGTTAATAAAATCCCTTTATTAATGTACTTTTTCTTTGGTATTTCAGCGGAAAAATATGTACCTTTTTTTTGCTAGCCTTTATTTATGTACTCTTTCCCCCCTTAATTAATGTACTTAAGCCAAACAAAATAGGGTATACTGCCGATTTACCCCCTGAACTTGTGCATAATTCTCAAATTACCCCCTGACCTTTTTTTAGCGAATTAAGGGCTCGAATTAAATTTTATTATCAATGTTCCCCCTATCGTCAAAATTCGAACATTTCATCCATTAATCCGTCAATTTGAGGGTTATTTTGGTAATTTCAAGTTTGGTAGGATTGGACAGTCACCATCTCCATGTTGATATCTCCCTCAACCCCCTTCCCCTTCTTGGACCTGCAACAGCCCCACCCCACCCACCCTCCACTCCATTGCCTAGCCCTCCTAAACAAAGTTTCGCAGCACACCCATCCCTCCCAAAACAAAAAAACAAAAACAAAAAAATTGTGACTATCAACCAGCCCCATCCCTGCAACCCACGACCACCTCAAGCATAAAATCAAACCTGATATCTCCCTCAGCCCTCTTCCCCCTTCTTGGACTTGCAACAGCCACGCCCCACCCACCCTCTGCACCATTGCCTAGCCCTCCTAAAAAACATTCACAGCACACCCATCCCTCCCTCAAAAAAAGAAAAAAAAAAGAAGAAGAATTGACCCATACTTGCAACCCACGACCACCTCAAGCACAAAATCAAATCTGAAATGCCCAATTTCTCTCTCTTTCTCTCTTTTTACCCAACCCCTGATAGCCACAACCACCCTCACCTCAATCTCTTTACCCAACCTCTCAAATTCAAACGGCCATTGGAGCTTCATGAATCATGATAATTCCCAGAAGCCACACTAGTGGCTTTGTGCCAATCAGAAACATAGAACATAGAGTAGAGAAAAAGAAGCACAAACCCTACCTCCTGCAAGAAATCCGATCCAAACCCCCACCCAATCAACCAACCCACAACACACACCTAGAACTTGAAAATTTTCTCTAGAAATTTCAGTAGCCCCACCCATCTCTGACTACCTCCCCACCTCAACTCCAACTACCTCTTCCCCCCAGCTACGGCTCTAGCACCCAACCCCAAATCGCACACCCCCTTCCAATGAGAAGAAACGGAAGAAGTTAGAAACTCATTTTCATTTCCTCATCCTCTCTCCCTTCTCTCAATTCCCACCATCGATTTCTTCTTAGCGCCCTAATCAAAGAGGTTTTGTGAGGTGGGTCAGGGCTACTGGGTTTGAGGGTTCGGGAGGTGCGCAGGTGGGGGAGATCAAGGTGGAGCTGTGTGGGTGGGGAGGCGATTGGGGGCTGGGTGGGTAGGGTTTATACGCAGGGGAGGGGGCTATATTTATTAAAATGATTTTTTTTTCATTTTATATGTCATATTATTTTATTTTACAGTATTTAATTATTTTTAATATATGAAATGACCAATTTGCCCTCATATTTAACGGCAAATTGGATGAAATGTTGATGATTTAGACGGCAGGGGGAACATTGATAATAAAATTTAATTCGAGCCCTTAATTCACTAAAAAAAAAGGTCAGGGGGTAAATTGATAGTTATGTACAAGTTCAGGGGGGTAATTCGGCAGTTTACCCAACAAAATATGATGTGTATTTACATAGAGCAAAAATGTTGTGGTGGTTATAAAGTTTCTTAATACAAGCGATAGTCTAAATTATAAAGGAATGAGAGTTTTTCACACACACACGCTACCAAAGTGTTATGAGAGTTTGAACATGAGACCACACTAATATGCAAATCAATAGTCTTTCTACTGGACTAGACCTATTTAGCATGAAGCAAATTTATTAAGCACGTGTCATTTAGTAACTTATATGCATCTAGAAAAACGTTATTTGTGACTTACCTAATTTTGTAACTTGCACAGAATAAACGGACTCATTATCATCCACTCATAATCAAGTCATATATAAAAGGCCACATTTTTATACAACTTTGAATTCAACCATCAAAATTCAAATTTTCTAGTGGTATTTAAAGGAATTTTTCTGTCTTTAGAATTTATAATATTTTGTATGGCCAGAGATAATACTCTTCTTCTATACTCTTGACCGACTCAAGTATAATCCATATATATTCCACACAGACACAGCCGGCAACAGAATATATTTACGATATTGTGGGAGACAAGAAGTTGTGTAAAAAATTCACAATGAGCTTTTAATTTCATGTAACGAGCAGCTCAACCCACTCCATAAAAAAGCTTTAGGGTTCCATTAGTCAAAGCACTTTGATTAAACATCATGTCCGATTAAGCCCTGGCTATAGAGATATGGCCAAACCACCAGTCATTTTCTTTAAGTTAAACCATTCAACTCCCATGCGTGGATTTAGTAGTTAGTTCTCATTACTCCAGAGAATACTGCATTGTCCTTATTACTTCAAAGAATCTTGGCCTTTTAGTCAAAGACATTGCCATCCAAGGTTGCGCGATAGTGAATCCGACCATTGATTTAATATAAGACTTCGCATACATTTACGGTCAGAAATTGCATGTACACCTAATATTGGCTTAGGTTTGCCCTCTTTTGATTAGTCAATTGAATTCATGCTTCTAGTGGTCCAATCCAATCACAGCTGGTAGATAAGCATAATTTATTTCATATTATTCATGTGTGATGCATTCTTGAGGGGCTTGAATAGGAAATACCAGGATATTGAGAAACATTATAATAAATAATAATAAAAAAATGGTCAAATCGCAGAATGGGTTAGTTTAGGAATAAAATATCTGACATACTCAAAACCGGAATAATTGACTATGAATTCTTACAAGATTAAGCTGCCATCGTTTTCTGAAAATTACAATAATCCTTTAGAATAATAAACCCCATAACTCCATCATAATCAAGAATTCTTTGACCTGAATAAAGAGTGGGATTTTCCACATCTTGTATAATTTTCTTCCAAGAGATGTAAGCTGATAAGTGTTTTTAACTCACGGATCAGCAACATTCTTCCATGACCCTGTTTTTTTATCTTTCTCTCGTCACGTCACATTGTTATATATTAATAAGAATAAATACGCATATGTTTAGACTGCATATAGTCGAAGGCCATTTTGTCTGTGTATACGGTTATTTCTACAATAGTATCTATGTATGCATAACCAAATTGCACATTTAGATTTTCCATATTAAGAATGAAGGAAAATATAATTTAGACACAGCTTGCCTTGGTTTGAAGCTATTCCAGATATAAGTATAATGTACTGTCTGCATACTTCTTGTTTTTGACCAAGCTAGCTGGCTGACACTTGTCACATTTTGGAAGTTGTCCTCTTCCTTTGGATCCCTATTATTTGGGTCTTTGCCTCGTGTAGCCGGCATCCGAATAAACAGAACCACTTCTTTTTAAATTGCATGAATCAGTCAGAAAAGAGAAAAACAAATGATCTCATTGTTTTTATTTATTTTTTTTCTCAATTTTATATTTAAGCTTTTAGGCAATGTGATGATTTTTTCTTTTAGTTTTGCCGGCGAGATGTCGTTGTTTTTCCATTTTAAGGGTACTTATGACAGATTGATTTTTAGTGAAATTTGTGACACTTTTGGCCGGACTTTATAATAATAGAAATATGCACAATCCGCAATATAATGTTAATGCTTTTAAGTCACTGTGGCATAAACTTGTACATCAGCTTTACTTCACATGGTGCGGGGCAGACGATCATGTTACATCGCCTTCTTTCATTGGCTTAATTCAGATTTTAGG